CCAAAATTAGTTTATAGTAAACATAACAGCAAAACGTTCCAACACAATCACGTCTATATCGTCCCTCAACTCAATGCAGTCTGTCTCAACTGGCTTTAACCAGACTAACGTTACACGACCTTTTCCAAACACATAATTGCACTCATTTCCAAACAAATAAGCAAATGCGCTGTTGAATTCCCAAAATAAAAACCATGTTTAATAGAAAGCGGTTAATAGCATTAAATACCCTGCAGATTTCTGACTGTGAGAGAAGAAAAAATCACGTAATCCCTACCTTCAGTCACCACAGACACATTTATCTCACGTCTCAAATGTAGCAGCACGCGTGAGTAACAAAGTAATAAGCGGCCCTTTCTAATTCCAGAGCGCGTGCTTCCCAAAATATTCCCAGTCGCGTGCATCTAATAATCCATTGACGAATTATCGACGGCATGACAGCGCTCAATGACACAGTTTTTACTCACCGAGATGAGAATCACGTCCTTCGGGGAGGACTGCGTGCTTCAGGGGATCAGAATAAGAGCCCTCGCTTAATTCAGGAGAAATTTAGCGCGGAGATTCCTAAACGACCCCTTCTGTTCTGGCGACCATGTTTGTCCAGCCTGCCTGACTGACTGACTGACTGTTGCTGGTGTTCATCCGGGCGCTTGAGGGATCAGGGGGCAGGAGCTTCCGTGAACGGAGGGGAAAACGGGAAAGAACGAGTTGGAGACACAACCAGTCAAGGCAGCATTATATGACCACCTTTCACTTTAAATACCATCCAAATGGGTTGTAGCAAATGGGAATTTATTAGGCTTGTCATGGGCAGATTTAAACATTTGTCCTGGCGGGTGCACGGGGTTGTTGTATTTCTGAGGAAAAGCTTATTGTAACGGTTGGATCACGTGGTGAGATCGATTCTCGTTCACAATGGATCTCAGTTAAGATATAAATGCGCTAAGCTTCGGTAGATCATTGGGAATATTTATAGATTGTATGTCTCAGGAAATGGGCACGCAGTTGTTAGAATATGTGCTGTTACGTAAGAGCATTCGCGCGTTCACAACACATGCGCGCCACACGAGACTGGATGGGAGTCCGACTCCTTTCAGCGAGTCGGTTCTTCTAATGTTTCATTATGAATAGTATGAACGTTCTTTGTATTATCATATCTTAAACTGAAATATTTGAAACGAAGGTATGTTATTTGGATATAATTACGTTATATTCGTTTTAATTTTGAATTTTTTTATTTTCGTGAATTAATTGTTCAGACCTGTGTTTGATTCAGATTCATTTATTCGACTCAATTAAAGGATGCTCACGAATCGGGTATATACGTGAGACGTTCAGAAGAGCTACATGCAAAGTTCACTGAGTTCATCGTAGACACATTGAGGTAATGTTTAGGAGTGACTACATTATCTGTTTCCGAATTGTGTTTTATTGTTGTGTGCCTTGCTGAAGACAATTTATTTTCTCAAGTGCTGCTGTAATGTGGTACAGTTAGACAATGTATGGCTTAGGTGGCCGTTAGCATAATTAAAGCTACATTATTACTAATGCACTACGATATGAATTTGGCTGCATCTTATATTTTACATATATTGGATTAATTATGAAGTATTTTTATTACCTACATGTAGATACATTGGGGGACTAAAAACTCGTGAACATCACCCTCTGCTGATTCATCACAAAATGCACGTTAGTTAAACAACAAATAAATTATAAAACGGTCAAATAAATATGATAAAAATGAAATATTACATAAAAATAATAAATAAAGCTGAAATTTATTGTTAAAGCTCTAGTTCTCCTAAAAATGAAATTACTCAGTCACCCTTGGTTCTAAACCCTTGTGAGCTTCTTTATTCTGTTGAACACAAAAGAAAGCTGTAAACTAACTACTGACTTCCATAGAATGATTAACATAAATCAATGGTTACAGGTTTCCAGCTTTCTTTAAAATATCTTCCTTTTGTGTTTAACATTTGAAAGAATGTCAAACATGATTGGACCAAGTGAAGGGAGAGTTATGAAATAATTTTCATTTTTAGATGAACTATCCCTTATCCACATAAAGCCATCGAAGTGAATTCGCCTTAGCAGAACGTTAACATTAGATTTTTAGCTGATAATGTCCTTTGTGATTCATAGTAGTGAATGGCTTCCATCACTTGAGAGTCTAAAAGCACACACATTCACACACACTACGGACAATTTAGCTTACCCAATTCACCTGTACCACATGTCTTTGGACTGTGGGGGAAACCGGAGCACCTGGAGGAAACCCACGCGAAGGCAGGGAGAACATGCAAACTCCTCACAGAAACACCAACTGAGCCGAGGTTCGACCTTCTTGCTGTGAGGCGACAGCACTACCTGCGCCACTGCCTCGCCAGATCTCAAACATGCTGCAAGTAAAAAAACACATGCATATTGAAAAACACCAAAAAATTCTCACAACACATGCAAATACAAAAATAAAATGCAATTATATTTAACTGACTATGTTTTTTATGAAACTACATTTTCGATGCTATAAAATGAATCATGTGAAAATGCATCACATGGTTGATTTTATAATAAATACAGCTGTGGAATTTAACAATAATTATTTATAATCATTAATTTTCTTTCAGCATAGTCCCTTAATTCATAAGGGGTCACCACAGTGGAATGAACCGTCAACTTATCCAGCATATGTTTTACACAGCAGATGCCCTTTCAGCTGCAACCCAGTACTTAGAAGCATCCATACATACTCATTTACACATACTGCCAATTTAGTTTATTCAGTTCACCTACACCACATGTATTTGGACTGTGGGGAGAAACCGGAGCATCCGGAGGAAACCCATGCCAATATGGAGAGAACATGCAAACTCCAAACAGAAATGCCAACTGACCCAGCCAGAACTCAAACCAGAAACCTTCTTGCAGGGGTGTCCAAACTCGGTCCTGGAGGGCCGATGTCCTGCATAGTTTAGCTTCAACTTCTTCCAACACACCTGCCTGGTATACCTAGAAATAGCTTGATTAGCTGGTTCAGGTGGGTCTAATTGGGGTTGGAACTAAAATATGCAGGAACGAGTTTGGAAACCACTGCTTTAAGTCAACATTGCTAACCACTGAGCCACTGTGTCGCGGAAAATATGTATATTATTAAATTACTCAATAATTGTATTTTATCAACGTCCCCAACCCTAAAGCCGCCCCTTACAGGCATGTAAAAACTGATTAGGCCTATACCGACTATTATTCCTGTAAAAAATGGGTCATCTCGTTCCTGGAGGTCCGGTGCCCTGCAGGGTTGAGCTCCAACTTGCCTCAACATACCTGCCTAAGTGTTTTAAGTATACCTAAGACCTTGATTTGCTTGTTCAGGTGTGTTTGATTAGGGTTGGAGCTAAATCTTCTGGAATCCGGACCTCCAGGAACAAGTTTGGGGATCCCTGATGTAAAATTATCCATTAAACTGCCCTACCCAACCCTAAAATCAAGCTTCACTGGATGTTTTAGGGTAAACTGTTCCTTTAAGAAAAATCAAAAATGCCTTACTTGGTGAACATCGCCCTCTACTGCTATCCTGACACGACTAAAAGTGCTCCTCGATGCATGATAATAACTCAAATCAAATAAAAAAAAATCACACGGCACTTTCCCTTCTCAATTAAAGCATTAAAAAACAAAACAAACCGGTTACTAAGGCTTCAGTAATGAGCCACAAAACATTCAACGGTCATTCAGTTCAAGCAATTCCTGAGTGGGCAGTGGCTGGCTGAACCAAACAAAGCTCCTCTGTGACACTTAGTAAACTGCAGCGCTTTCCCTTTAGTAAATACACGAGGGTGGTTCACTTTTTTCCACTGTTCATAATTTAGCATGTTTTGGGCAATAATCAGACAATGCAGTAGGGTAACATTTTTTGGGCAGTTTGACAATACCACGACATGCTTTATTTTTGTGAACCACATGATGGCGCTGGATCTTAAATACAAAGAGCGTCACATAGTTCAACAGACTGTTTGCAAGGCTGAAGAGAGTGATTAGTACAATGAAATGAAGAGCGAATGTTGACCTTTCTTCTCAAGAATTATTGTGAACATCCAATACTACAACGTCAAGTTAGAAACGCTGACACAGCCGTTGTTACCTTTCATGAATACATCAAATGTGGACGCTAGTTAAGAAATAGGCTAAATGAAAAAGAGTTTCCACAAAATGGTTCAACAAATATCCCACAAAACTGCTAAATAAGGGGTTATTTTGAATCCAATTAGCATTTAAGATGGCCAATGTTGACTAGTTGGAGTAAAGTTGAAAAATAACAGTTGAAGTCATAGTTTAAATAGATAAAATTGATGAGCATTCTCTGTAAAAAAAAAAAAAATGTAAATAATAATTATTTGAAGAATGTGCACATGTGCATTGCCATGCTCAAACAAGTTTAATAAAGCAAATTGAAAGTAACCAGGCAAATTTCCCGGAAAAATGAGTCCTAAAAGTTCCAGATTACTCACCCATTCATGTTGTCAGAAAGCTTGGGACCAAGTCGACTAAAGTCCTTTTTAAGGGAGGATTAACCAGCATGGATCTATCAGAATTTATTTAACAAACATATTAGGCTACTAAAAGGGCAACGCCATTAAATACTTTTCAAATTGACTCAACTTTTAACTTTTTAACCTAATCAACTTTTTAAATTTCAAACACTTCAATTCAAATTCAGACTGAAGGTACAGTGACAGTAAAGTACTGGAATATGATTCTTTAGTCCAGCTTGAGCCCACTTGGTAAATTAAATAAATTCATCACACTGTGGGATTTGGATGACAATAGGTGAGCTTACAACACAAACACATGCACACAGATCAGGAATGTGAATTATGTCTTGGTCAGAATGGGCAGAGTAGATTGTGATTGGCTGAGGGGTCTGTCAGCATCGGGTTTTGAAGCTTGTGGTCAGATTAGATGAGAGAATAAGAGTGCTGTGGTAGTGAAAAGAGGGACTAAGATAGCAGGAAGAGTTCGCTTTAAAATCTTGAGAAAAACCGCCATGACTCTCACTGAGATTATCTTCGTCTTGACTGGGACTTGCGCCATCCTGGTTTTTGGAGGGAAAATAGCTAGCCTTATTATGATGCTCATCACGAAGCTCTTCTGTCCTCTTCCTGAGGCTTTTTTCACCTCTCTGGGGAAATGGGCAGGTGAGAGACACCAGCATTTTCATCTTGTTACCTGTGTTTTCGACTTGAGTGTGAGTTTTTGTATAAAAACAAGTTGACATATTTATTTTTAAAATAAAATTTCCTTGGAATTTTTTTCATTTAGAAATTCTTAGTAAATTTCAGCAACAACTACAAAGAAATGGCAACTAAATTAATTGTAATATATTGAATATATATATATATATATATATATTTATATTGTTTGTTGAACAAATTAAAGCTTTGAAGGCTGAAATATTAGTGTAAAACCTCTAGTGATATTATTTAAATTTCTTTATTTTATTATAAAAATATTTCAAAGGGACTGTGCCGAAGGAAAACGAATGAATGAAAATTATTTTAGTAACAAGATTGAAATCACATATAAAGTTAAAATAAGCAGGATAATCTTTTGGAAGTTAGGAATTAGCTAGGACTGTTGTAAAACTACAAATATAGGCACACAATCAAATACATTTTCAACTATTCAACTTACAAAGTGACTTGAATTAAGGTAAATAAACTGAAGTAGAATCTTGTATACCTTAACAAAAGACAGATTTAACTAAAAAAGATATTTCGAAGAATGTTGGAAACCTGTAACCATTAACTGGCAATGGTTAACGGTTTCCAACATTTCTTTAAAAAGTATCATAAAAAGTGCTTTGGAATAAGTAGAGAGTGAGTAAATAATTAGAGAATTTTCGTTTTTGGGTGAACTAACCTATTAAAAAGTAGATTTAGTAACATGAAATGATGCTGTCATGCCTTATTAACTTCTAAATTATCTGTATATATGTAGAGGGGCTCATTAAAAACAGGATTTTTAACATGAAAATGACAAAATAATATCCTTTAATAAAATTAGCACTATACCATAGTTCAGTCCCACCATTTATTCCAGGAACAGGCTTTTCATCTCACTTTAAAACTGTCACTCACAAAGTGCTTCGCTTCCCTAAACAGCTCATTTATTGTTGGCAAAAGAGAGTCCCTCCTTATGGCTTTCTTGAAATTATACTGTGTATGCAAGTTCAGAAAAAAAAAAAACAATCCCAGACACTTTTTCCCAAGCTTCCCTTTCCACTCCGTTCCGGCACTGAGTGTGGCAGAGAACAAAAGGCAATTAGAACAGCATGTTCCAGGACGTTATTACTCTTTTCATTTCTTGACTTTGAATGGTTGTTCCTGCTCATTTGAAATCAAATTAACATTACTTTTCTCTCAATCTGCAGCCACTCTTTTTACTTGAAACTTGTGAAAAGTTCTGTGTGTGTGCGTGTGTGTGTGTGTTTTGTATTACAATGTCTCTTTCCAGGGGGTGTTTTCTAGCATGTTTAGACATAGTACATCTGCTATTCCCTTCACTCTGAATAAATAATCATGCAGAAGGTTTTGCAAGATGCTCTACACATGCTAGAATCATCACGTCTTGAAGCACAGCTGCTTTGGCATGTTTGAGTGTGGGATTGTGGAGGGCGAAATCTACTAAAAAAAAACAACAAAAAAATGCTAAATAAGAATACATAAATGCACATAAGATTGAACATTTTATGGGCGCTGTAAAAATTAAATGGATACCTCAATTGCATTACCTACATACACAAATTTATTTGCAGTAATTTGTTTTTGATTTTTGTCTGCAAAAGTTGATAAAATTGTTATGTTTAAATAATATTGAAAAAGAATTTAATTTAAAGTTATATTGATGTCACTATTGTGAATGAGTATGTGTGTGTTTGCCTCATCTTTTCCTCTGCAATTAAACTTTCTAATTTAATAAAACTAAACTAAACTAAGTCAGGTCAGCCGAAGATAATCATTCAACATTTCTGACACAAAATATTTAGCTTATCTTGAGATCTCATTGAGATTGTAAAAGCGGGGCACTACTTGTACTTGTACACAAGAACATTGGCGCAAAGAAAGAGCGAACGCATGGGAAACAAGACAGAAAGACACAAGAAAACCATTTTCCCACACTGGAGACAACCGGACATTAGGTTTCAAACCTTTCTAGTCTGCAAAAGCAATGAAGGCAGTAATTACATCATTTCCTCCGTTACACACTGCATTTTCTCCTACTCCCTTGTTTCACCTTGTGCACTCGGATGGACTATAATAAACTTTAGTTGGTGGAGAGGAGATAGTCGGCGATGATGACTTTTCACACATATGCAGAACTCATGCTCTCTGTTTGTTTACTGAATCGGTGGGTACATACAGTTTGTTAAAGTTCTGTATGTGCTGTTAAATCAAACAAACACTGACCGCCAATCCTATGTAGTAAGATTCTCATAGATAATGATAGGAGACAAGTAGCTTATCATGTAGACTTCTGGATATGCTTGATTTGAGTATTTGTTTTATTAGGGGTAAATTATATACAGGTAGTAGTTAAGTAGTTAAAATAGTAATTAGATAAACAATAAACCTTAAATTGGATTTTTATCAGAATATGTGGGGCTTATGCTGCATTCAATTTCTTCTGGGATGTACTTACGAGCTGACAATCCCAAAATGAGCTGTGTACTAGTCACTTTCATTGGCACAAAATGGCGTTGTATCTGCTTTAGATAAATTACAAGAAAATGTTGCAGGGTTAGTTATCTCTGCTAGCAGAAAATGAAGAGCAAAGGATTCACATCAGTTGTGTTGTAACCCTCAAGATAATTTGAATACATGAATTCCACCCACTGATCTATACTGTCTGTAATAACATATATAATACTCTAATGATCAGTGACTTGTCCATGATTCTCACTGACAATCCCCCAACTACACTGTAAAACCCAACAGTCAACTTTATCAAATGAAATGAGTGTAGTTAACTCAAAATGTACCGAAAGTTAATTCAACTCATTTTAAAAGAGGTTTGAACTCAGTTTTGATGGTAATGAGTTAATTAAATACCTCATTACTTCAACTTAAATGGAGTAAGTTCACAGTACACATTTAGTTTTTAACTCAAATAGTTTGTAGCAATCGTTTACCTCAAACTGTTTGAGTTGCCTTAACTTATTGGGTTTTACAGTACTCAGTTGGTTTGAGTTCTCTTCATTTACTGGGTTTTACTTTGCTCAACTTGATTTAAAATTCAAATGGATTAAGTTCACAGTACTGATTAGGATTAGTTTTTGAACTTAAATAGTTTGTTGCAATCGGTTTCCTCAAATAGTTTGAGTTACCTTAACTTTTTGGGTTTTACAGTGTGGGAAAGTTTTGGGTTTCTCGCTTGTAATAATGACTTTATAGAACTGTTCATGTGCATTTAACTCGTATATATGATTTATTCAACATCAATTAAACACACCATAAATGTGGAATTCCTAAACATTTGTTATTATTGACACACATGGTAATTCAGAGAACTACAGCAATTTATTAACTATAGACTAAATATGATTTAATGCTTGGATACACTCCTTATTAGACTTACTGAGAAGTTCTTGTTCATCGTTTGGTTAGAAGTAAAAAGAAATCAGTGCGTTTATGAACTTTAATGGCATCTCAATCTTAATCCATAAGGTTTAGTATGTAGTTGGCCAACCCTTTGCAGCTGTAACAGCTTTAACTCTTCTGGGAAGGCTTTCCAAAAGATGTGCTTAAGGGAATTTTTGAAAATTCTTGCTCACAGTCTCCGCTGTAATGCATTTCAAAAGTGTTCTGTTGGGTTGAGGTTGGGACTCTTTGCAAGCCAGTCAAGTTTCCCTACACCATAGGTCTCAAACTCAATATACAGGAGAGCCGTAGCTCTGCACAGTTTAGCTCCAACCACCTCCAACTCACACCTGCTTGATAGTGAACACCTTGATTATTTGGATCAGCTGTGTTTGATTAGGGTTGGAGTAAAACTGTGCAGAGCTGCGGCGCTCCGGGAAATTAAGTTTGAGACCTATACTCTACACCAGTGGTGGGCAAACTTTTTAGACCTAATAATAATAATAATAATAATAATAATAATGTTATAATTTTTACAGTGGAGAATAGAAAAGATACTATCTGTTGGAAAAAAATATCATATTAACATAGTTCTCTAATCTAATTTGCACTGCTTAGAATATATAGATCAGTCATCATAAAACTTGATGAAACCACAAATCTTTGATAAAATTTCTTTTTTAAGTGGATGTATGCATGGAAAATATATTCTATGGCAAAAACTATTACATTTAACCAACAATTATTCTATAATTTGAGTGAAATTCACAACAATCTCATTTGACCTTATATTAAAATGCTCATATTAATCATTGCAAAACTAATAAAGATAAAACGGAAGAATCCTAGTCTTTGTTATTCCAAGTCATGTTATTATGAGGGTTTTAATGTGAACCCAGTTCCTGGTCCCCTTTCTTCGCAAGGGTGTCAAAGTCTGGAGTCTGCTACGGCAAAAACGCGAGGCGCAGCAGTCGGTTAAAATGCGAGGCGGCTGTGGGCAAGGCGCATAAGCAGCGCGCAAAACCCTTGCGGCTGTTAGTAAACCATTCAAAATAGTGGACTTTTAATGCATAAATATTCCAGCTCTGAATATAAGCTGACTCCAATTTCAGGGGATCATTTAATTCACACACTTTCATCAAAAGTTAATACATTTGGATATTTGATTATTTCAGATACAATATACTTTCAGGTATTCGTTCATTGCAGACCAGTTTTTTTGTTTTGAGTCACAGCTTGGGCTCACCAGCTTGATTCTTAGTCAAAGGTTTGCAGGCATCTGGCACCTTTTAAGTCGGCCGTCTAATGCTCGCTCTTTGACAGAAAAGGTAGTCTACCCAGTCTTTTACCATGCAACTTGCCAGATCAAAAGTGGTGAGTAATCAAAAGGCCTACGATGAAGTGCTTACTGCTCCCTTCACTCGTGATCCTCTAGTTCAATGGTCGCAAACTCAATTCCTGGAGGGCCACAGCTCTGCAGAGTATAGCTCCAACTAGCTCCAAATCCCACCTGCTTAATAATCTAGTACTCTTGAAGACCTTGATAAGTTGGACAGTGGCGTAGCGGACGGGCCCGCAGGGCACGCACCGCGGGGGGGCCCCGCGTGATTAGGGGGCCCCGCGTCGTCGCGATTTTCAATAAACTGTTGGGAACAACTGTGGTCGGAACCAAAGTTCACACGTCTGTGTTCTCTGAACACCTCTCAAGCGGTGGACTACTTCATTCTGATTGCTTGCCGCCAATGTTGCCAACTTAGCGACTTTGTCACTAGATTTAGCGACTTTTCAGACCCCCCTAGCGAGTTTTTTATGTGTTATTGGAGATTTTTTTAGACTGTCATTTTTCCATACTGTACCGTCCCTACTCTTCTCAACGAGCTGCGTGTGATGCCGCCGACCCCTCCCCCGCCTCACAGCACTGACAGGCGGCCCAGTCAGTCCTCAACAGCAGCCTCTCCCACCTGCAGCCCGAGAGCAGATCACCCCTCTGCGTACCGACGACAAATGATTTAGCACAGGCAGTGTGAGGTATTTCCCTTGTACAGTCAAACCGATCTACTTCTCCTTTATTTAAACAATTTATTTGGACCGTTTATTCTTTTCTTGTTCACAATCACAGATATTTTAGTGACAGTTTCTGAACTTGTCTGAGTTTATTACATGTGAGAGATTACTGCACATTCACTAACGTTACACATCTATAATGATATACTGTATTCAAACAGCAATAAATGTAGTTAAATAAACATGCTTATATAAAGTGTAGTGCAATTATAAATACCCCTTTATTAACCATAGGCTGTTAAACAGAAACGGTAGAACGTTATGACGTCAGTGATATGCAAATTGACGTATGACGTATCCCCCCCCCCCCCCTTCATCAGGGGGCCCCGTCAGCGATCCCTGCAGGGGGGCCTCTGCATTTTGCGCTACGCCACTGAAGTTGGATCAGCTGTTTGAATAGGGTTGGAGCAAAACTGTCTAGAGCCACGGCCCTCCAGGAATCAAGTTTGCAACCTATATGCTCTACCTTAATCCATGCTGGCTGTAAAACACCAAGGGTCAACAAAAGTGTCCTCACAATAACCTAGTCATAATGATTTCTGTCGAATTCAAAATAAATCAAATATAACATTTTAGGGGTGACGCAGTGGTGCAGTAGATAGTGCTGTCACTTCACAGCAAAAAGGTTGCTGGTTTGAGCCTTGGCTGGGTCAGTTGGCGTTTCTGTGTGCATGTTCTCCCTGCGTTTGCATGAGTTTCCTCTGGGTGCTCTGGTTTCCCCCATAGTCTAAAGACATGCGGTACAGGTGAATTGGGTAAGCTAAATTGTCCATAGTGTATGACCGTGTATGGATGTTTCCCAGAGATGGGTTGCGGTTGGAAGGGCATCCGCTGCTTAAAACATGAGCTGTGCTGTGTTGACCCCGGACTAATCAAAGGACTAAGCCGAATAGAAAATGAATGAATGAATGAATATAAAATTTTATTTGTCAGGTAAAATTGTATTATGCCAATTACACAATAAAACAATCAGAAAGCCAATTCAGAGATGATACACAACATCCATTACTCAAAGATAAAGAGATGCATACCTGACCAGAGATGTATGTTGCAGCATATAAGTCTCAGAGACTCACACACTGCAACGGGGTGTCTTGACTACAAGATTCCAATGGCATTTTGCACCCTTCCGTTAAATACTCAACTCTGAACAAACAACCATAAATTGAAGATAATAAAAGCTTCACCAAGACCTCTGTCTGGTCATACGATAACACAAACACTAATCACCCCTTGGGATAAAAAGTTCATAATTGACAGACTTCAGTCAATTCGGTAGGACAGACTTTTCCCAAACTCAGACAATAATTATCCTGGTACTAGTGGCTACTGCAAAATTGACATTTAAAATTATGCCAAACACCACAAGTTAAAGTTATAGATTCACAAGATACAGCATACTAAGAGGATGGAGATTTGGTGTGGAATGTCATTGACCTGACCTCTGATTGAAGAAGTGAAGGGGACGGCAGAGAGGGGGGCACATTATGGGTAACTGATGCAGTTGAAAAACTTGCTGTCTTGTAGATCTGCTACTCAGACTAGAAAGTTGATTGTTTTATTGCATCGCAAGTCTTGTGGTCTTGTCTCATGAAATTCCTTAACAGTTCTCAGAGTCTGATATTATAAAGAGATTAAGCCATCCTTACAATATTACATTAAAAACACTACATATTAAACATATTCATTTTCATTTTGGCTTAATCGCTTAATTAATTCATGGTCGCCACAACGGAATGAACCGCCAACTTATTCAGCATATGTTTTACGCAGCGGATGCCCTTCCAGCTGCAACCCATCACTTGGAAACACCCATAGACTCATTCACACACATACACTATGGACAGTATTAACTTACCAAATTCACCTGTACTGCATGTCATTGGACCGGACCACCCAGAGGAAACCCTCGCAAACGCAGGGAGAACATGCAAACTCCACACAGAAATGGCTCGAACCAGCGACCTTCTTGCTCTGAGGCGACAGCACTACCTACTGCGCCACCGCATCGCCCTATTAAACATATAATGTTATTTATTACACCTCACATAATTTTGTTCATTCATTCATTTTCTTGTCGGCTTAGTCCCTTTATTAATCCGGGGTCTCCACAGCGGAATGAACCGCCAACTTATCCATATCATTGTAATGTACATAAAAAAGTAAATTTAATAGGTTGTTAATCAAATTAGTCTGCAATATTTGATTTTAAGCCAGAAAATATCAGAACAGTAGAGATAGGATTCATTTGCAGCATTTATTCAGAAAAACAAAACAAAAATAATCCACCACACAGGGTTACAAGGCAAATCATCATCCAAAATTGAACCAAAAGTCCATTAAACACCCCCAAAACTATGGCGTAACATCACTAGATCCACACTGTAAAAAAAAAAAAAAAAAGTAAATAAAATCGTAATTTTACGGTTTATTTCTGGCAGCTGGGGTGCCGAAAAAAAAGTAAAATAACAGTTGTTAAATTACAGAAATTTACCAGGAGTTTAAATTTAAGGATATTTCTGTAATTTAATATCCTTTATTTTATGGTATATTTCTGTAATTTAATGGGTGTTATTTTACTTTTTTTTTCGGCACCCCAGCTGCTGGAAATAAACTGTAAAATTACAGATTTTTTTTACAGTGCATGTACTAGGAAGCAGGCAAATAATCAGCGTGAACAAAACAAAATCCAAATGCAACAAGGGACACAAAACATGGGGAACATAAGCAGTAAATCACAGACAGCTGCTAGCAATGAGGGAACCAGGGATTCAGGGGATCATGGAAAGTATAGTCCAGATGGCAAAAGACAGCATACAGCCCTGTGTCCGTAAAAGAACACTGAAGCTGCTGGTTGTAACAGATTTGTTACATCTTTCCATTAATGAAGAGCAATTCCTCTGTTTCAGTGATCACTGGAGGCTCAGATGGAATAGGAAGAGCGTATGCAGAAGAGGTAACAAGAATACCATGCGAAAACTAGAATTTTCTAATAAACATATGATTTCTGAAGGATAATATAACACTGAAGGCACTTCTGTTGAACACTAACAAATTCAACACAGGCTCATTGTGAACACATACTCATGTGTACATTTCTAGAGCGTGCAGATTATGTAGCCAAAGCTACGCAGGGCTGCATTTCATCTTTAAAACTAGCACTATGCGGCAGTATGAGGCCTACGACTGCTTCTGTTTCTTTTCGTGATACCAGCTGACCACTCACCTCCATGAAGATGGCTTTTCTGTCTTTACCAGTTTGCCCAGTAGCTTACCATGTACGTCGACGAACTTGAGACACAGAGAGGTGATGATGGCGAAGAATGGTTCCAAAAAGTAGGTAAAACAAAAACAAAAGGCAAAAAATTAAATAAACAAGTAAACAAAAGTGTGTGAGTGTGGTAAGCTCTGAAAACGTGGTAAAATCAGGCTTTTCTTTTTCTGGATTGTTTTTGAAAACACTGTCGGTTGGGTTGAGGAAAGTGGGTGATCGTGCCAAACGGTGCTTATGAAAACACTATTGGTTGGGTTTAGAGAATGGGGTGGGTGAGGCAATCAGTCAGTCGATAGCGGCCTCTGGTGGATTTACACAACAACAGGCGTGAATGGCACTCTGAGAGAAATTTGAGATCTGAAAAACCATACATAGTGGCCTCATAACAAAAACAACAAAAAACTTACCTCTTGGGATGTATTTCTCGATCTCCAAAAAAATGTATATAGGGGTATGTATCAATAATGAGCCTGGGTTAAAAATTTTTATTTTGAACAATGCTAACCACTAAACAGTTGGCTACCGTCAATTAAAAACATTCCTTTTTAGGCAGTTTGTACTGTATTGTAATAGTGCAAAAACCTTAAAATAGCTCTTATCCAAACATTTTATGGACATCTTAAAAACATTTAGTGTTTCCTGCATTTCTCTGCAGCTTTCGAAACAAGGGATGAGTGTGATCATCATCAGCAGAAATCAAGAGAAGCTTGACAGAGCTGCCAAAAAGATCGGTAAAGCTTTTACCGTTGAATTTTCAGTTTCTCAATAATGTTTTGAGCTCAGTTTAACCAGCGTTCTTTTCTTGTTCTGGCAGAGCTCAATACAGGAGGGAAAGTCAAAGTAATAGCTGCTGACTTCACCAAAGATGATATTTACGGACACATTACAGAAAACATCGAGGGATTGGATATTGGCGTGTTAGGTCAGTAGGTATCAGATATCTCAATGTGTCACAGTATGAGCTGCAGTAATGTCGACTAGAGTGCTGATCAATGTGACTTTGCTTTAAACAGTGAACAATGTCGGGATTCTGCCCAGCCAAATACCCTGCAAGCTCCTTGAAACATCTGACTTGGAAGAAGTGAGGTCACCTTTGGTTTAATGTTCATGCATGTATTATTTGAGATGATATAGTACTCGCATTTTACTATAGCATTGCACATTTTAGATGTCTTCCTTTATTATTTTGGCATGAAAGATGTATTCAAAGGTTAAAAAGTCAGCCTTAGTAAGAAGGTAGCACTTATTTAACCAAGCTCCAATTAGTTTATATATGGCTTCATCTGAAAGCTTTAAAATGCTGTCTTTGGAGGCAGAATTTCCAAGTGGAAAGACATCAAAGCACACCAGAATCCAAATTCTTCTCAATTTCTTGTCTTGTAAGGTACAAATTTTGAAGACAGCATATGCGCACTGTTAACATTTTTTGTAAATTACACAGTATTTAACTTTAATATAAACTGAATTTTACTGTAGGACTGTAGTGTTAACAGTGTGTCATTTGCTGCCTCCAATATTCCTCTATTATGTGCTTCCATTGCTGACATTTCAGCAAAAAAAAAAAAAAAAAGGTGTATTTATTGTCATCAGTGAACTGAGCGCCATTTTATATATAAATGTAAATTTTTGACCAACGTTCTCCACTATTGATGGTATTTCTAGCACAAAGTTTTGTTGCAATTGTAGTAAACAAATAATCCCTTGATTATCACGAAAGCTCTCTCTATTTTGTGATGTATGATTAAATATTAATACTGCCTCAGAAGTCTGTCTGAAATCCATTTTACGAGGTGCCTTTGTGCTCAAATTCTGCCTCCAGAGTCAATGTCTGATTGGGCAACTAGGCAACAACTCTGCAGCTTAAGCTTTCGGATGCAGCCTTTATTTCTACTGTGTAAAAATCTCAATACAACACCTTTAAATCAGAATTCATCTGCCACTTTATTAGGTACACTTTGCTAGAACCAGATTGGACCGCTCTTGCCTACAAAAAAAAAGTCTTAATTCTCGTAACTTCTCTGGCATGGATAGTTGATATTTAAGGTGCTAAAAAGTGCATCAATTTATTATATTAGATTGATCTTTGACAACTACATAGTAGGTATGTGGCTAAGGTAAGTTAAAATAATAAGAAATAATTTATTTTTATTTTAGCTAGAAGGAGTGAGTGAGCAATCTTTATGTCACCAGAGTAACCCATTTTGCTCATGAGTTTTTGAGGAAATATAGGCTATATTATACTAATAAATTTTAAAAAGGGATTGACAAAGATGCATTACGAGTTGCATTTTAATATATATATATATATATATATATATATATATATATATATATATATATATATATATATATATATATATATATATATATAAACAGGAATTAAACGGCATCTATTTTGCCTTCTTTTAAAGATTTAATATGAGTATTTTGTGTCTCCAGAATATGTCTGTAAAGTTTCAGCTAAAAATACCCATCAGATTATTTATTATACCTTTTTAAATCCTGGTCAATTTGAGCTGTTAAGACATTAGCTGTTTTTGTTCCTTGTGCCTTTACTTCGCATGAGCTGGTTCTCCCTGCCAATCGTTCCCAAGTGCGTGTCAAGAGTTTAGCCTTCATGTAGGTTTAGGTCACTTCAGTATGAATGTGGACACACTATACCTACACACAGTTCTGTCCAAACAGCTTACAAAAGGTGATTTTCATCATAGATGTCGTTTAATATCAGGCTTTGGATAAACAAAAACTTTTTCTAATTTTTTTAAGCTTATTGACCTCCTTTTACTCCAAAGAAATCAAAGAGCCGTATGATATGACACGATGCATAAATGTGTATTAAACACTAATATTCAGCCGTCTATATATGTTTGTTAGCTCATTACAAAAATATGCAGTAAATTTCACTATTTACATGTAAAACTAACAAAAGAAATAATTAAACATACCTTATGCCTTTTCAGGGTGGTCCTGAATAAATGTAAAATTCATTTATCCCGGAATTTATGTCCTGAGAAGCTGTAAACAGATCAGACCCATGGCCAGTCCAGGGTCCATGGCTAGAACTGCCCCTTTAGGGCCTACTAACACTATGCTATCTGAACCGTGCCCAGGCCTGTTTCCCGGATCGTTTGAGAAGTGTGAGCGCGCAGAATCGGGCCACAAAGCACGAAACTGAAAGCGAGGATTGACTTTTAAGGGACTGTTTCAAATGGATTTATTAATCATCCTTACTGTTCAGGAAACGCAAACTGTCATAGATTATTAAAGACGCAAACCTCTCACTGCACGACAGCTGCGCACCTTCAGCAAACCTCCTAATACCTACAGCACGAGGACTTTATGGTTGTTTATGAGCGTCAAACGTGGCTGATCCGTTCGACGAAATATTTAACTGCGTGTCATTGCATATCAAAAGACTTAAAAAACGAAACTACTGAAGAAATCTCCACTGTGCTGAGCAAGCTGTACTTCTGACTTGCGCATCACCGATAATGTAAGCGTGCCCAGGCCTGAATGTAATGTGAGTGCGGGCTGTCGGGGGAGACGGGAGGGGGGACAAGCTTGTTTTGGCCCGGTTCAAGGCAACTGTACATAGTGAGAGTACGCCCTTATGCTGTGTTCACACCAGACGCGGAACGCGCGGATAAATCGAGCTATTCACGCAAAATTGCCGCGTGAACATTTGAGTTTGCTCGCTTTATTCGCGCGTCAACCCCCGCTTCATTTGCGCGTCAACCCCCGCTTCAATCGCGTGTCAAATTCACTTCAAAACAGACGCGGATTCGCGTGATGGGCAGGGCTTCTGTCTGCCCGGTGACTCTAGCTTCATAGCTAAATGGCTAACATGGATTTTATTAAGAAAATAACAGTGTTAATGTGCTTTATGGAGACTGAAAAACAGCGTCGATACGTTTAAGGTCCTGTATGAGTCCACTGCATCCTTTCAGAGGTGCATCCAGCTCTGTGAGTTCATAAACTCTTCCAGAAACTGAACCTGGATGATAAAGACTTTTAGCGGTGTCTCTGACTGAGCCAAGCCCAGTTTGATGACTTGTTGTCGGTGTCGCCTGGAGGATTTGCCCCGGGCCACCATCAACAATCACGCCCCCACAAGAGCAAGCTTCTGATTGGTTAACGCGGCGCAAATGTCCGCTGAAGTTCAGATTTTTGAACTCGAGAGATTCGCGCGAAACGCTCGTTAAGCGCGTCAAACGCGCAAATGCTCAATTCGCCTCGTATATATCACGCTATTCGCACCGCGCCATTCGCACAATTCGCGTCATTCGCTCTGCGCCATTCGCGCGTAACGCGCCGCAGGATGTCTTTTCGCGCGTTTGCATTGACTTTACATGTAAATCACTCGCGCTTGACGCGCGTTCCGCGTCTGATGTGAACGCAGCATTAGTCTCCCTGCCTCTCCAAGTTTCAAAATAAGAGTCCCATGCAAATAGGAAAATATGATCATTATAATCTCACAAGGAAAAGCTGTGGCTATTTAAATGCTGCTGGAGGTGTGCACATTGATCACCCATGTGCAACGTAACAGTCAATGTTTTGTCAGTTTTTCACCTTGACTTCACACTCATTGGATTTACATGAGAATGAGGAAATACTGATGTTTGAGGCTCACGGTATTGTCAATAACAATTCAAAAAAAGTTTGATAGGAAGTTTCAGTATGAATTGCTATAGTTTTATTAAAACATAGCTGCTGAATGCGTACCTTGGAAAGGAATGCCAATAAGCTTTGGGAGTAAGTTTGTCTTTCCAATGGAGGTGCGCAACTTGCATGTATTTAAATGATGATGGTTAGTTGCTTTACTTGAAAGCTCAAATTTGATTATCATAATTTATTTTGTTTACTGAGTTTGAGGTTTACTGTATCATTATTATTGATACATTAACGTTTTCTCTAATTGTTCAGTGTCCACACTTTACCATTGCACAAACTTTCTAACATTTTATTCATCAATTAAAGAGTCTCTTTAACATTTATGCTTACTTTATTATAAAGAGACAAGATATTTTGTTTAAGTATTTTAGTTTTGACTATTAAAACTATTTGCCTTAGTAATGTTGGTAATTGAAAATAAAGTAGTTTAAAAAAAACATAATATTTATTAATGGATTGTTAAAAATTTTCAATAATTATCAAAACCAAATAATATTGAACATGAACATGTGATTATTTATTTTATTTTTTTTTTTTTGCAGTATCGCCCAGCCCTACGCAGTATGTTTTTCCAAGTACTGAACTCTTATTATTCAGATATGCTTACGTATATATAGGTTTTCATTCTAAGGCACCTTTAAGTGCCCAAAGTGTGCCAAGAAGATATTCCATAAATCATTATATAAGATGTTACATGTAATATTGTTAATGAAAAATTCTGAAACAACCATGCCACAACAAAATCCCCCATAAAAATAATTTTCACTAATCTTTTGTTGTCCAATTTTGGAGATCCTGAACAAATTCACTTACGGTTTGCTGTTGTTAGCACTGGTGTGCCACTTATTTAAGAATCGATGTGTTGTGAATTCAGAGATGCTCTTCTCCAGACCTCATCTGAATTACCATTGTCTTTCTGTCAGCTTGTACAAGACTGGCTATTCCGCCAGACTTCAGGGATCAACCAGACATTTTCTCTCACAGACCTGCTACTCTTCTGGCTATTTTCTCAGTAGATCGGCAGGTTCTGAAATATACATTTTGTCACCAACAACCAAAGTAATTTAATTCACTGCTCATTTAGCATTGGTTTGAACATCAGCATATCATCTATATGCCATGTATTTATATAAGCAAACAGTTGAACAGTTGTACCTAATAGAGTGGCCAATGAGTGGAGAAATAGTTGAAGATTTGGTGTCATATTTGGAGTATGTACAGAATAATCATTTATGTTTCATCTCATGGTCTCTCTAGAGAATATATGACATTGTCAACTGCAATGTAAAGTCCATGGTTAAGGTGAGTAGAAACCAACAAAACTATACACTATAGCATGTACTCGATCACATCAGTGATGAATTTCTTGTGTTGCTCTATTGTCTCTTGAAAAAAAAAAGTCTCTTGTAAATGTATAATGAACATTTAACAGGGTCTTCCCATCAGTCATTTATAAATAGGCCAGTTGAGTACCTGTAGTTTAGAGATAAACTAATTTAAAAGAGTGTGTTTCCATATTCAGATGTGCAGAATTGTACTACCAGGAATGCAGCAGAGGTTTGAACTTCTCTGTTAAATAGTTTTGCATCATTTTTTGTGTTAAGATAAACATATGCCAAACACAGCAACCATATGTATTTTCTTAGAAGAAGAGGAGTCATTCTGAATGTGTCTTCTGGAATAGCCAAAATACCATGTCCCATTTACACCTTGTATGCAGCATCAAAGGTAAATTTACTCAAGTACATGACATTTAAACCAACTGAGTCATCTTTTCCAACATTCTGCACTATAATAGCAATGAAAACATGTCAAAATAGCTTTATATTTTCACATGCAGGTTTTTGTTGAGAGATTTTCACAAGGTCTTCAAGCTGAATATATATCCAAGGGTGTTATTATTCAGGTAGAGTACAAAATGTACCATGCATGCAAATTAATGTTTTTTTTGTTGGTACTTGTTAACTAACCACAGAGTTATGTTTTGTTTTTATCATAAATAAGATACCAATCATTCCCAAACATATTTTTTTTTCTCAGACAGTGGCTCCATTTGGGGTTTCAACAGCAATGACAGGACATCAGAAGCCAGATATGGTCACATTCACGGCTGAGGAGTTTGTGAGAAGCTCGCTGAAGTACCTGAAGACTGGTGACCAAACGTATGGCAGCATCACTCATACTTTACTGGTAATGACCTCTGTTTATTGAGTTTAAGGGCCACTCGTTTTTACTGGCATCTATGGTTTCATCAAATAGACTTTTAAAGGAATAGTTTTACACTTTATTTATTCATTCACCATGGTGTTACTGCAGTCAAAACTGCTCTTCTTTCGTTTTAAGAGCATATAAATTCACATAGACATTCAAATGTTCAAAGTTTAATGCAGCGCTGGTCAATTAATCAAACTGAAATTGCTAACGCAATGGGGTGAATGCACAGGGACTTTTAATTCTCAGCAAGCCAGCTCAAGCACTTCCTGTGAACTGCCATGCCATTACAAAGTTGCCGCATTTAAGATCTGGTTCCTTTAAAAAATCAATGATCCTCACTGCCTTGAATGACATATGATCTAAAGGGGGTCTCAGATCAGACAAGAAGCACTGAATTAAATTCCATTGTTTTGTGCCAGGCATCACGATCGCCTCACAGCAAGAAGGTCGCTGGTTCAAGTCCTGGCTTGGTCAGTTGGCATTTCTGTGTGGAGTTTGCATGTTCTCCCCGTGTTGTCTTTCTCCGGTTTACCCCACAGTCCAAAGACATGCGGTAAAGGTGAATTGAATAAACTAAATGGGCCGTAGTGCATGTGTGTATGGATGTTTCCCAGTGATGGGTTGCAGCTGGAAGGACATCCGCTGCGTAAAACCTATGCTGGATTGGTTGGCGGAAACTGATAAATATTGGGAGCTTAACTTAAATACCCACATCACATGATCTTAATTCTAAAATAAAATTATTCACTTTATTATCAAAATTTTGTCAATGACAGTTTTATTGTCCTTGTCTCAGAGAGTTGTTGTCATGGATGGTTGAAGTAGCTTCAGTCTTTTTCAGTGAGAATGATTATTGTTCTATCATTCATTCATTCATTCATTTTCTTTTCGGCTTAGTTCCTTTATTAATCTGGGGCCACAGCAGAATGAACCGCCAATTTATCCAGCACATGTTTTACTCAGCGGATGCCCTTCTAGCCGCAACCCTTCTCTGGGAAACATCCACACACAATCATTCACACTCATACACTAGGGACAATTTAGCCGACCCAATTCACCTCCACTGCATGTCTTTGGATTGTGGGGGAAACCCCAGCAGCCGGAGGAAACCCACGCCTACAGGGGAGAACATGCAAACTCCACACAGAAACGGCAACAGACCCAGCCGAGGCTCGAACCAGCGACCTTCTTGCTGTGAGGAGACAGCACTACCTACTGCGCCACCGCGTCACCTATTTTTCTATTATGATATTTAATTTTTGCAGATAAACTCTTCACATACATCCTGCTGCTGCTGTGTAACGGGAGTCTGGAGTTTTTGAGCAGTCTGTATAGACTGGAGTATTATTAAATATTTGTGTCTCATGTATTGTATTGCGCCATATTTTTTATAACTACACCTGCAGATCATCAACTGGCATTTGAAACAGTGTTATGAAGTTTTGTAGAGATCGCCACTGTAGACAATGTATGTTTGTCTTATTTTTTTGGCATCTACATCAACAATACATACAAAACTATTATTATTATTTACCGTTATTATTTGTACGGTTTACTTATTCTCCCAAGATGTTTTCAGTTCTTCTTTAACTGGAAGAGTCTCAGTTTACCCCCTAAGTGAACACCAGTACTCAATCTTTAGGTGTTTTATATTTCTAAAGTTCTTCTGCATTTCCACTGAGACTGTGAATGATCATATCCTGAAGGCTCCACATCCTGTTCCTAAGGACTGATATTTTATTCGTTTTTCATTTCAAAGAAGACGATGTTGATGCCAAATTGTACACTATTCTGCCATTATATATTACTGGTCTTAGGACTGTGCAGTATACTATTTTCAATGTTTGTTGACTTTTGTTGCCATTTGTCTGTTATTTTCTTTACGAGTGTTGCATAATTTCCATCCAAACTCCAAGCATTGACCACAATCTTAATCAATTTTCTCTTCTGATCTCAAGCTATAGGCAAATGACTGAGAAAGCATCAATCTGAAGCTGCATTTTTATGATATCATCATGTAGATTTTTTACAAAGTATTTTACATTATTTTAAAAGTACTATTTTGTATTTGAAATACATGCATCTGAAATACCGCCCATAGGACACTCCATGAATTACACGTTAATCCTTTGGAGGTTATTCAATACAAAAAGCAACAAATCCAGTTGTGCAAATCATACTGATTTGAACTCTTCTTTGTATTTATTTATTTTAATTGTTAATCCAATTTATTCAGTATATTTTAATGTGCCTATTGATCTTTAAACCATATCATTCAAAGAACCATTCTATTGTAGAAAAAGATTCGTTTTAGAGATTGTTAAATCATTCTTCACACTAAGATGTCTTTAATTTTGTTCTTATTTCCTTTTTGAACTCTTTATTTTTATGATTGTGTCTCTCTTCTGTGCATATTTCTTAAGCAGACTGCGTGTTTTACAAATAAATATTGTTTCCTGTTCAAATGACACAGCAGTCACATTGTTGTTGCAAACTAACTAATGTGTAATTCATCTCTAGGGCAGGATCGTGCAGTCCATTCCTACCTGGGTCCTGCAGAGTGAAACATTTCAGCATCACTTTCAGGAATATGTGAAGAACAGGGACAGAAGATGAGAGATGGCATTCTCAGACTTTATACTGTATATAGTATTGCACATTTGATATGTGTGTTTCTTTGCACTAATTAAAACGAAGCTGTGTGTAAAAAAAAAAAACGTAAGACTGGAAAAGAAAAATGACAGGCCACTGTTTTTCCATGGTCCTTCAAAATATGCTAAATCAGTGTTGATAATGGAATCATTATTAATGGTAATCATATCAGCAGACTGGAGATAGAGGAGTAGTACTGACCTTGATAACATTAACGGAAGGTCAGTTTCACAAAGGCCAAATCACAGAGTCAGACATGTGACCTTGTTGTTGTTTTTATTATGTTTTCTTCCAGATTAGAACGTGTTTAGGCTTATATATTTTCAAACCATGGTTGCATTGGAAACAACATCCAAAAACACATATTTGGCGCCACGCAGTGGTTAAATTTGGTTAAATCATCTTTAAAAGCTGATGAAATGAAATGTAATCATTTTGTCATTACACTGTAAAAACAAAAACAAAACAAAAAAATAATAAAAATAAATAAATGGGTTCCACACAATTAATTTGTGTTGGGGCAAAATGAAAAAAAAATTAAGCTAAGTTATTATTATTTTTTTTTTAATTTTTTTTTATTTTTTTACAAATTTAAGTTAATTGAATATGAAACAATTAAGTAGCCAACCCCTCAAAAATTGTGTTGTTTAAGTTCAATTTAAATAGGTAGTATGAACAAACAGCAAAGTGAAAGCCAGTATTTTACTTTCATGTGATTAAATTCTCTGTAGCCACTTGAGGAAAATGCAAACCCTTTTTGTGTAGTTAATTATATTATTAATGTATACCAACATATCATAAAGGAAAAAAGGATTTGAAGAATGACATTAGAAAAAAGAAATTCTAAATCACTTGAAATTTTCAATGCTAAATAAATTTTATCTACATTTAAATAAATTGGCACTTTTAAAACACAACATTAATTATAACATGATAAAGTTAAATTCTGGCGATTCATTCCGTTGTGGCGACTCCTGATTAATAAAGGGACTAAGCCGAAAAGAAAAGGAATGAATGAAAGTTAAATATTAATAACATAAAAGTTTCCACCAATGGGTGTAATGTTGAAATATTCAGTATACATTCTGTTGTTGGCTCAAATATAAAGACTTTAATTTTTCTAGTCTTTGAAGTCACAGAATTAAATGACTTATTGATTCAAAATGTACGTTTCTTGAGTGATTTATTGTGGCATGTATACATATACATATATATAGAAGTCAGAATTATTAGCACCCATTTGTTTTTTCTTTTTTAAATATTTCCCAAATGATGTTTACTAGAGCAAGGAAATTTTCACAGTGTGTCCGATAATATTTTTTTTTCTGGAAAAAGTCTTATTCATTTTATTTCGGTTATAAAAGCAGTTTTTATTTTTTATGAACCATTTTAAGGTCAATATTATTAGCCCCTTTAAGCTAATTTTTTCAGAACCATTTCAGAATTTTCTTCAGAACCATCGTTATACAATAACTTGTCTAATTACACTAACCTACCTAATTAACCTAGTTAAACCTTTAAATATCAATTTAAGCTGTATAAAAGTGTCTTGAAAAATATCTAGTCAAATATTATTTACTGTCATCATGGCAAAGATAAAAGATCTTTAGACTATCAGTGTTGGGGTAACGCATTACACGGCAACGGGAGTCATATAATATTATTATTTTTCTAAGTAAGGAGTAAAGTAACACATTAAAAATAGTAAAAACATTTGAGGTACTTTTAAGTTTAATTAATTAGCTTTTAAAAAAAATTAATTGCTGAATTAAAATGGGTCACAAAGACTCACACAGTCAATCAAAGAATGTGTTCATTATTTTGAACGCATCAAAGAAAATGAAAGGGGAAAAGGGGATTGTCTCAATGGACCGTGATTTTACTTAAGACAAATAGTACAAAAGTAGCAAAAACATTGCTTTAAACTTTCAATAATCCTAAAAAAAATGTTTTTGATGTGTTTTTTTTTATTAATCTTTTATAGGGAGTTTTCACCTTTAATTTGGATAGGATAGTGGAGATTACAGACAGTAAAGTGCAACATGGCACAATATGTCTGCGCACAAAAACACTAGGCTAACTGAGAATCAGATTTATTGCTAAGTGTGCTTCACACACAAGAAATTAGTTTAGCCATCAAGCTTCCAGTGTATATAGTGACAACACAAAAATAAATATAAGAAAAGCCGATTAAACATGAATCATTGGACAGATATGCAATTAGACAAAAGCTCTGAATGTTGAATTGTATGTACAGATTTGTTATAAATATACAAGTTAAAAAGGTGCTGTGAACAAATGCATATGAAGAAGGTAACTTTAAAAAGTATCTTTCCCCAACAATGTTAACACTGTATAGCTTGTATAGCTTTTTTATAAAAAAAATTTTCTATATATATATATATATATAAAAACACAGGGGAGGTGGCGCAGTAGGTAGTGCTGTCGCCTCACAGCAAGAAGGTCGCTGGTTCGATCCTCGGCTCAGTTGGTGTTTCTGTGTGGATTTTGCATGTTCTCCCTGCATGCGCGTGGGTTTCCTCCGGGTGCTCCGGTTTCCCCCACAGTCCAAAGACATGCAGTACAGGTGAATTGGGCTGGCTAAATTGTCTGTAGGGTATAAGTGTGAATGAGTGTGTGTGGATGTTTCCCAGAGATGGGTTGCAGCTGGAAGGGCATCCGCTGCATAAAACATGTGCTGGATAAATTGGCGACCCCGGATTAATAAATCCATGGTGGCAGGCCAGATTGACCTATGGCCAGTCCGCCCCTGCCTGTCAATCCTGCCTGATCTCACGAGGAAAAGTAACTATTTTACATATTGTCAGGAAAGTGGCTAAGTTGCATTACATTTTTAAAAAGAGATATGCCCACAAATCACACAACGTCCTCTCACTGGAGGCTTAGAAAATTGTGCTAAAATGTCAGAATGAGATTGTACAAGTTAAAACAAATTAGCCACTAAATAAAATGTTAGGAATTGTTGTGAGATTGGATCGGTCAATCACATGTGAAGAGTTCATTTGGCATGACCCTCAGCATTCTCTATATTGTGTATCTGTTGAGTCTGCATGTTGAATGTTGCAGTGCAGTGCTGGAATAAACTAGTACACTTGATACTGTCCACTTTGGTTTCAGACACCGTTGCAAATTTCCAAAGTAGCTGATTTTGAACACAGCTTATAAATCCATTCAATCAGAGCAGGATCTCACAGTAGAATAATTATTACTATTTATATTTTGGGCAAACATTATTAAAGCACTTGAAAGTATAGCAAGTTTTACCTGGAACCATTTATTATGTTTGAATTTAGATGTGAAAATTTGTAAAGTACATACAGAACCGCCTTTAAGCTACCCTGCAGTTATTTATTAGGCAAAAGCAACTAATATTGTACTGATTGGGTATTTTCTGTCAGGGTGGTCAATCTACCTGAAACGGCCAAATACTGACCCTCTGTTTTGAATGTGGCAAACAATTTCCTTCTTGATTTCCTGTGAGAGTCAGGTAGGCCCAATTATATCTCATTTATCTATAAAAAAGTGGTCCGTTTTTTCTCTAACTGTGAGATCGTCCAGCAGAGGGCAGGTTTTTGACCGCATTGGTGAAGAAATTGGAGGTCTTCAGCTGTAGAGATTGAATCTGTGTGTGGCGTCTGGTTTCAAAGATGTGCAGAAGATGCTGAGCAGGTAAAGAACACAAACAAGTGCAGTCTTTTGGGGGATTTCCATTTCACATGTAGCCCTTAATAAAGCGGTTCACCCTTGAGCAAGCCGTTCTGACTGAAATACAGCTGACAGGATAACTATCAGTTTCCGCACTTATTAAAGGTCCTTGTTTTTTTAGGACAGGGAATTTCCACTGATAACTTATAATGCTACTGTCTGCAACCGCAATGACATTTATACGGAATAAGGCTAAGGCATTGTAATAAACATTAGGAAATTATTGTGCTCAACATGCATTTTATTTTCTCATCATTCTGTATTTCTGTAAGTTAAGTCAACTACATTAGAGATTTTTGAAAAATGAATTCCAGTTAGCTGAAAAAAAATCTAATCAAATTGCAGACCATCCCAAACCAACCTCAAAATAACTTCCTATAATTAACATATTTACAAACTTCTTTGTGATATAATCCTTTTTTCTGTAATTTGTAACCATTTTGAAACAAAACGGCAAACTATTTGCATATTGTGTCTTATATAAAGCATGCACACCAGAAAAATTTGAAAAGTATTTCAAATAAATGTTAAGTGGTAAAGAAAAGAAACGATTTGTCTTTCAGTTTTTACTGAACTGTCATGACAGCAGTTGAAATCTAGTTTTTTTTTTTTTTTTTTTATAAAAATTTGATTGTTTTTACTTTAAAGTTAATGTCAAACAATACATTACAGGCAGGGCTTGACATTGACTTTTTTGATCACCAGCCACTGTGGCTAGTAGTTTTCCAACGTTACTAGCCCCATTTTCACTGGCCATAATTTTGTTGTTATGAAAATATATTTTCTATGCATAAATTTGACTTTGACATCGTACAATTATTTGATTTAATGTCCACATGCCTTCTCATTTATTTAACTTTTTTATGTTGTGATCTTGCTCAATGAGGATGAGCAAATGCGTTGGGGTTTCATAGTGTTGCATTGCAATTAGTTTTATTTCACATGACTTTTTAGGGCTCAACGCTACGAATTACCAATTTTCTTACTAGCCACACTAAACTAATTAATTCCTTGACAAAATGTTTTAATAATGTGTTAAAACAAGCTAAATATAGCTGTACACATACACTTTTTATATAAAAAAAAAGTTCTGAAAAAAACAATAGACAAATCAAAAAAATTATACACTAAAACTATACACAGTAGTTGTCCAGACTAAAGGTCCCAGATCACCAGTAAACTATACATAGATGGGAGAGTTAATCTCCTATTAAAACTATGTTATTGTAAAGGACGATAATTAAACCATATTAAAAAAATAACTGCAAGTAAAAGAAAACTGAAAAAACATTCTGTGCAACAGTGAAAAGATGGTCAAGTGCACATGGTTAATGTTAGGAACATCAATAATCTGTTCAAAGAATGGTTAAAGCGAAAGCGGCAACCGCTGTTGCTTACACTGTAAAAAAAAAATAATTTTACAGAAAATATCCTTAAATTTTTTACAGTAATTTTTTGTCATTTCACATTATATTCAAAACTTAGTAAAATGACAACCAATCTCTCTAAATTAACCGTTTGACATTCATTTTAGGTACTTTATTATTAAAGACAAATTACTGACATTTGTGTTTTTTATACAGGGAAATTACAGTATTATTTATACAGTATTTTTTCTGTTATTTTAAATTATATTCAAAATTTCGTAAAAATTACAAAAAATATCTGTAAATTAAAGGCTTGAATGTTATTTTATGTACTATATAAGTAATGACAAATTACAGCAATTTGTCTGTTTTTTTACAAAAAAATTGACGTATTATTTACAGTGTTTTTTCCTGTTTTTTAAGTAAATTTAAAATTACGTAAAATTAAAGTAATAAATTGTAATTACTTGCTCTGTAAAAAAATAAAAATAAATCGTAAAAAAAGGTCAAATGACTGGCAGCTACGGCTGCCAAACAAAAAACATAAAATTAAGGTAAAATTTCTTTGTTGAAAAAAAGTGCAAAAAATAATAAATCTACAGATATTTTCATTAAAATGTTTACAGAGAAACACTTATTTTAAAGACTTTTCCTAGATTATTACCCACCATAGCTGAAATCTACCCGCATTTGGTGGGTTGGCGGGTGTTAAATTCAGGCCCTGATTACAGGTAAAATAAATATTTGTGCTTTATGTTTTGATGACACAAACTAGTACACTTCATTAAATGAACAGTATTGTTACTTGACGCTTATGCTAGTGGCAAGTAGCCCTCTGTTGTCAAGAATTTTTCAGAGATTACAGGTTTAGCTCGGGACTCTGGGCGGCAGGTATTATTTCAGCTTCAAAAGACCACTTTACCCAATTAGCTATATATATATATATATATATATATATATATATATATATATATATATATATATATATATATATATATATATATAGAGAGAGAGAGAGAGAGAGAGAGAGAGAGAGAGAGAGAGAGAATGTTTTTTGAAGCTGAAATAAGG